ATATCAAATGGCAGGCATTTTGATAGTTATCATTAGCCTTATAGTTGACTTCAGACTTCACAGAAGGGAAGAAACATCAGAGTGAAAAAAATTTGATAGGGGGGGGGGGAACAGAAAAGCGTTTCAAAGATGTAAGAGACAGACACAAAGGTGAGGTGAGTACTGTGAAAGTAGTCGAATATGACAAGGTAAGATGAGTACTGTGAAAGGGGTCAAATATGACAAATAGTCGAGGTGAGGTGAGTACTGTGGAAGAAGTCGAATATGACATACTGAGGGGTGATGGTAATTTAAAGTCAGTTGTTAATTGCTGGTTGACAGACTTTTTGCCGAATGAGTATACATTGCTCAGGGTGCACCACGTGGAGGTAAGTGTATCGTACACCCCAAGTGGCGGAGACATGGAGCACCTGAATAACGATCCCAGCACCCCTCGCATGCTAAGCGAGCGCTCTACCATATGAGCAAGAGCCCCACTAAAATGTCGGATCGCAGGGTAGGCGGTGTAGAGAATTTCATTTGTAACAAAGTAGTCCAGCCCCTAAGCCCATAGCTTGCGAGAATCATTCCAAAGGAAAAAAGGTCAGTTATTACTTTGTGTGCAAAGAGGAATTTGAGAATTTGCCATCTGCTTGTAAGTAGGAAATGCGTTTGTTTTTACTATCTCGAAATATGTTTTGTTAAGAAAATTGTGAGTGAACAATCATGTCTTATTGCTCGTGGGCTAAAATTAAACGATACATGAAACTTAAGCGGATATGAAAAATGAAAATTTTATTATCCACCATTTTAAGAGTGGAATTGTTACAACAACGGAAGAAATTCGTTTTTTTCAACACATTTCAGACACCACATTAATTTAAACTTTAGAAGAATTAATTGGCAATCACAAGATCTGTGAATGTTTGTGATAAAGAAAGCACCACTTTCGCGAGTTTGTGTTCCAAAACCCTAATTTAATTAAAACTTACTAAATCATTTTTTTCGCTATGGAAGTCAACTCTAACCCACTATTTACGCCATCACCTAGAGCTTCGCCTCCTTCAAGTGATCTGATTTGTTCCAAAAGCAAAATCGCTGATGATGTTTGGAAACACCTACCATATCTCCTTCCAAAATTTTTTGTCGACAAATACGTTAACACTGATAGTATGCTACTATTGGCTGTTACTATCCTTCTTTTCCATTCCTTTGACATCTTGAAAATTGCGATTGGAAGATTGAGAGTTAGCAGCCAAGTTCTTGAACACCTCGAAAATCTCCAGGAAGGCACTAAGTTCAACTCCACTTAGGCTGAATGGCCATAAAATCAGCCTTTTCTTCCTACTTATGACCTTCAAAGTTAACATAAATCACTTGGCAACATTATGCGTAGCAAAATCCGGCCAAACGTACGTACTTAGTTTCCTTTTCTTTTAGGCAATTTCAAAATATACCAGCGCGCCTCACAAAATCAAACTCAATTATATTAATAATTACCAACTGCCAGTTTAGATTATTTTAAATTGTCTTGAAATTAATTTCGGAATTAGAGTGCTTATGATGATTTTGATATTGAAAGGTAAAGTGAATGTTTAAGTGCAATTGATACTGAGTTAAAAAATAAATCTATTTAAAGTGTTCCCAAAATCAAAAAATTAAATAAGCAAGAATTGAATGAGACTCAAATAATTTTAAGGGGTGATTTTTTTACATTTATGTCGAATTATTCACTGCATTCGTGTCATACTTATTTACTGGATTGAAGTATAACCTTATTTGAGGCTTTTAGCATGGTGATCATTTCTGCTGTAAAAATGTACTCATCAATTCTTTCGACAATTGGGAAATTTGAATAGGCCTACATAGCCTTCGGCAGCGTCATCAACACCTGATTTAATTTGAGTTGATTTGATATCCACGTTCGTTATATGGCGATCCAAGAAATTTTGTGAAGAAGCCATCGCTAGAATTATTGATTTTATATGGCATCCAATCATATGCCACTTTTTAAAGTCTGTTTAGATAAATTCATTTTGTTAATAAAATCTACTTGGGGCAACTGAATCTCTAATAAAATGTAGCCACTAAGTAATAAAACAGCAAAAAGAAGGCATGAGCAAAGCAAAATGGGTGCATGTTTTAAGAGAGAGCTAAGATAACTATGAAAACGGAAAGATTTATTAAATTAGATGCCAAATGATTGAAAGATTGGCAGCGAAAGAGAGAAGAGTTAAATGGAACTATTTGACGTTCATTACTTACTAGTACGCACAACCTTCCACGACACTGAATATGAACTGATGATCAGAGATTAATTAATTAGTTTTATATTAATCTGATGTGGGCATTTGAATAATGTGATTTTCCGAAATAGTCCAATCGATAGAGCAATAGACTATCAAAGTTTTAATCTCTATTTGAGCCTTATTTCGATCGAAGTACTTGGAAGACTTTAACGTAAATTTCTTTGGCAGAATACTTTCCGTTTAGTTTGCCTTAAGTAAAAATTGAAAAAATTAATTTCTTATCATACGGTTTCTATTCAGCACAAATTTGGTCTCAAAGTTACCAGAGTTGATTTCAACCACCGACTAACTTGTATCCGACCTGAATTAAACTCAAAGTGCTAAAGCACAAGTTCAAATGATCTGTAAATGACTTACAAGAATGCTGGAGACGATTCGAACGCGATTGAGATCGAAGCTACCTTGAGTTGCATTCAAATCGGTTTCTGTCTTCATTACAACTCCATTCTTGGAATTCCATTCACCTAGCTACAATGAAAGGCAAAAGTGATGCACAGCAAATCACAAAACTCAAAGAATTTGATTTCACAAAATAAGCTGTCAAATCTACTCAAAATATTGAAATTTGAAAATGGAACGAAATACGCTCTCTTACAAAATCAGTTTATATCAATTTTATTTTCAATTTTAATATTACATACGAGGTGCACGATAGACATACCTCCACGTGGTGTACCCTGGGCAGCGTATACTCATTCGGCAAGTCTATAATCCAGTATTTGACTTCTGACTTAACACTATCATGACCCGACTGTATGCATTATTCCACCTTTCACAGTACTCACCCTACCTTTTTCTCTATTGCCATTTCATATTCGGCTAATTCCGCAGTACTCACCTCACCTAATTTCTACCTTCGATTCGCCCCCTTTCACAGTACTCATCTTACCTTTTTTATAACTTTGTGTCATATCTGTCTGTCTCTTTTACGTCTGTGAATCATTATTCTGTCATCTGTCTGCCTCTTTTACATCCGTGAATCGCTCTTCTGTTTCCCTGTCTGCCTCTTTTACATCTGTGAAACGCTCTTCTGTTCTTGTCTGTCTCTTTTACATCTGTGAATCACTCTTCTGTTCCGTCTCTCGACATTTTGTAATTTTAATGTTCCCCCTCTCTGTGAAACACTAAATCAACTAAAGAACTTATGATAACTGCCATAAAGCCAGCCATTTGATATAGATATTAAGCACTATTAAAAAATTCTTCCGACTTCAAGAAACCAACTGCTCAATTTAATCAGAAATTTGAGATTAGATTTTGGAATTTGGGCGAAAAATCTAAACCACGTGAAGCAGTGCATAAAATGGCTTATCAATGAATAAAATCGAAATTCAGATGAAATATGTCCGCTATTAAGTCTCAAATTCATTCCTTTCTTCAAACAGGCCTCTCTAATTTACACCTTATTGGACAATTTTATTGTCACCGTGTTGACATCCTTAAAATGGAAACTGCCGACTCAATTTAAAATATTTTGCATGCGATTGTTGTCAATATAACTTTGACAAAGTGAGGATAGTCAATACGATGGGAATATTGTTCAATAATCTAATTTGATTTTATTGTGAAGATAGGAATGAATTGGACAATTTAAAGGTGGCCTTCACATCAATCTTAAACCTTAACACCCTTTTCCTAATAACAATGCTATCTCAATGCAGAATGTGTTCACCGAAGCGTTTTTCAAATCAATATTAGCTAAACCCGAACGCAAAATACTATGATCATCTGACAAATTTTCTTTTTAAGATACAATGTTGCTTATTGCTCACTGAGTTTTCTATGTATTCTCCAAAGGTAAAAATTCCCGTCTTTGAGCGTAATTAGATGAGCAGGTAAAGGTTTCATTTAGAATAAAACTCCAAACTACTTCTCATTTTATAACAATTAAATATGTACTTTATTGGCTGAATGCGAAATGATCTGATATTGTGCGGGACTTGCTGTGCTCAAAATATCCTCCCCCTCTCCCACACAACCTGTTACCACTCCTAATTTTTTGACGTAAGAGTATTGAACGCAACTTAACTCAGCCAGTCGTTTTTCAACAAATTTCACCCCGTTGGGACAGTAAGAAATTGAATTCCCTTCTGATAAAAAAAAATATGTTGCAGTGCTTTCAAAATTCAAGCACATTTTAAATTAAAATTTCCATAATTCTGTGTAAAATCAATATATTAATTTAATTACTTAATTAAACTGCATCGCTTAATTAGATATGATCGTTGAGGGCTTGTAATATGCCTAAATGACCTCATGAAATTTTCACAGCCTCGGAATTCAATTAAAGATGTAAGTACTTTGAATGTGAACCTAGCTTCAGTGTTAGGTAAGGTAACGACCTTGCTGTTAAGTATATTCGAATAAGTATGAAAGTAATAGAAAGTAAAGTCAATGTTTGTTTTAATCAGCAGAGAGTGACAAGGGGCTGCCTTTCCCATGCTGAGTTTTCAAGATTTGAAAAAAAATGAGACGATATGTTGACATTTTTTAGTTTAGATGAAGCAATGATCGGCCTATTCCATTAGAAAGGTTATTGTATGAGATCGAGAAAATCAATTTGATAATTATGTGTCTTCATTTCACTAATAAAATTGAAATTAAAAGGCAAACTAAAATAGTGATTTTGATATGTTAATGCGAATACAACTCACAATGGTCCACGGACAATATATCAGAACTCGATTTAACAAGAATAAATAAATATGTAATTCTCGAAATTTGCATAAGTAAATAGATATAGTTTTACGTTAAATCAGAGAGTTTTTTCCCGAGACTAGATAAATACGGACAGAAAGACATTTCAGGAAAAACAATTCCACAATCGCATTGACGCAAGATCAGAAAATAAGTTCCATTTTAGCACAAGGAGAGACTTTCGAAGAGTGAAAAAGAACGTATCATTTCATGCTTCATCATTTTACGTTTGGTCTAATTTTCAACGCTATTTACTGATTTTGAAAAAAATCTGCTATTTATACCAAGAAAACAAGAAATCTTTTTATTTAGAAGCATTGAATTGAAAGAGGCAAATTGTCTAAAATAAATATTTTGGTGGGGTTTAACGGTATTGACCTTTTACTAAAATTTGAATTTCCCTATGCGTCACTGGTTAAATATAAAAAGCGTGTGTACTTTGACCGATCGATATATTAGTGCAGTGCGCTTTGAAAAAGACTGGATGGAGGGAATTGAGAGGATCTATCGAGATTCTGGGGTACAGATGAAGCAATGTTTGCGATTTTCTACTAGAATTGTTCCTATTTAGAGGAATCTGGCCTTTTCACATGAATTTTCTTCCAAATTGTATGGATGGTGTAGCAATATTTAAAGCTGTCTATTATCATCTCTTCGTGGGAAAAAAGCCTTTCAGTTAGAGGGCTTAACAACTTTAAAAGAATATTAATCGGCAAACCATAATGCGCAGCAAGAACATTTGTGCTATACTCTTCAACTAACAGGTCCAAGTTTAAATCTCACAACCTTCATCGGTCTCGATTATATCACCAATAAAAATCATATCTAATAATCCTTGATTTAAATCTAAAAGGAAGGATTAATTTGTAGCAAAAAGTCGAAGCGGATAAGTCTTGATTCATGGGTTAGAAAAAGAGGCTTTGGGTGAAAAAGTATTTATTTATGAGGAAATTAATGGCTTGAAATAAGTCGGAGTTATGACTTACGTTTGAAAAAGATTGCTTCATTTTCGCGCCCCAAATCTCAAAATTATACGCGTTCCGGAAGCCATTCTTGTCGAAGCTTATATTTCCTGTAAGTCCAGGAAATGAGATCTAAAAATTATGAGAAAATGCTTTTTAATTCCCAAATTTCCCCAAATTGGCAAAATTTTTATGATCTAATATAATGTTATCTTGTAATAACTTAAAGCAAAAATTATTTTACTACTGTACCAGCTAACTTCTTTGCTCCAATTATTTATGGTTTCTCAGTAAGATTTGTATGCGTAAACACATTTCATGAAAATCAGAAATCATAACACTCAAATTTCTATCTACTTAATTATCTGTTAGTAAAGCGAATTTTACAAACTCACTTGTTGTAGTTTCTCCATCATAAGTGGCGCATTGAAAGGTGCCGGTGACGATGGCTGACATGGCAAATTGGATGAATGAGTTGATGTCGAGTCGCTCTGAAGATCAAGAGGTCGATATTGTCCTGAATAGGAGTCCTCATTAAGAAGTCGCAGAGTTTGAATGAGACTTTTCATTCCATCTATGAGCAGTGCGGCGTTGTACTTGAATTGAATAATGAATATTTTAATTTAAGCTTATTATCTAGCACTGTCCTGTTGCGCAAATTTGCCATAATAGTCGAAACCATCAAAATGTTTACTTTTATGCGTTCTTTATCGCAAGAAAATATAGTTGAATCCACGTGAGTAGAAAGCGCGTGAATTAAAGAAGGGTTACAATACTATTGCCTTTCTTAGTACTCAATTGTCACAAGACAGAAATTGGAGAAGTGAAGACAGAGTTGAAAGATGAGGTGAGGTAGATCAAAGCAATGCGCTTAGTATCGAAGATAAGTCGTAAAACAGTCCACAGATAGAGTGAAAAATCGCCCACTGGACCTCGTCTCCCCCCCCCCACTCCGCCCCCACAGCGTGGAGACCCATAAACCGTTAGCAAAAAACTATATCCAATTTTACATAATTAAAATGAAAAGCTAAACATTATGGCATATGATTCATTGATAGAAAAGTTTGCACTATGAATTGAATGGGCACGACTTTTATGGCTTTCAACACAACGCATTCTAAAGCGAGCAAAATTAGCAGTAGGGGACGTTAGTTCAAGCTTCTGGTGTTGGTTTAGATATTTCGTTCTTTAAAATTGTTTCCTTGAGATTTTGAGAGCTCTAAATTAGAAATTAACCGTCAAAATGTGGGATGTTGTAGTAAAGAAGTAGACTGCCACGCTCCGCTTCTTGGTTGGAAACGAAAAAAGGGCCTTATTTCTCTTGTATTCTTGTTGAGGCATCCGAACGTAAAGACATTAGCAAGTACACAGCCATATATGGTGCGACCCTTCAGGTAACTAAGATTAAGTAGAGTCGAAGTCATTCGTTCCCATACCACTACAGCTTCTTCTAGGCACTCTATTAAGCTGATAGCAACATTTTGCATTTCGCATGAATTAACTCGCTCACCGAGAGATTCCCGTTGACCACATCGTTCCCCCGTATGCGCGGATTGAGTTCCGTCTTGTAGGTCTTCAGTGCCACTGAGTCCAAAGCAATGTCAGCTAGAGCCGTCATGTTAATTCCACCAAAATGCAGGGAGCTCTCGTTTATGTACTTGATATCCTGAATGAAGGAAATAAAATGCCATTAATAATATCACCTTAGCTTTGCAGTTCACAGTAATGCATAAATTTCTACATCTAGGTCAGGACGGAACGATGGAAATAGGATCACAAGCAATTATCTCCTTCAGCATATCTTTATTCAACAGAAGATTGCAAATGAGATTCTTAATATCTTGACTTTGATCCATCCTTCTAATGGTACTCATACAGACATATCCAATAATTGAAACTTAGCGGAATTCGACATATTCCACTTATTAGCAATAAGAAATGAAAAATTAGCGTTTAAATTCCATTCATTAGCATTGTGCATCTTCAAATGGGAGTTTATTCGGAACGTTAATTCAAGAATTAACTCTTTTGAATTTATTAGGGACACCGTTTTGAGGACATTTCCCACCTGATGCTGATGTGACAAGTTAGCCATTCTACGACAAAGGCTGAGGAAAAAATTTTCATACCTGAGTCGTTTTCCTATTTAGGATATTTATTTACTTTATGGCAATTTATGTATAGTTGAAATTTTCGCGGTTGGCGCGAAGATACATTTGTCTACTTTTGACTTCTATTTCCGTTGATGGTTACTCCTCTTCTACTTAAAGCTCTCCCTTTTTGCTCACTCGATTTAAGGTCTAATTTCTTTCGAAATAATATCATTTTTGCTAACCAATGAATTAAAACGGCAGGACCAAACCTCTCCGGTTTACTGAAACTAGCCAATAGGCATTGAACATTGTGGAAGACAGTCACAGCATCTAGAGGTACCAGTGGTGAGAGTTCAAGTGGGGAACGTGAACTGCTCACGTAATATCTATTGTAGAGATCGACCCCGAGAATCAAGCAAAGTAAAATTCATTAATGGCATGACATTCCATTTCATGAGTTCGTTTTTTGTTCCCCAACACGCAATCATTTGCTCGAGTTATCAGCAAATGAAAGCCTTATTGTGACCTTTTAACTGTTAAATAGTGAAAAATGAATATAGAGTAGAAACAATAAACATTGACTAAGGAAGTGAAAGGAGAAAATTCATCCGAGTAGAAGTAAAAAAATCTATTTTCCAAGGTGGAAAATCAATCAGAATAAAGTCTTGCTAAAACGGATCGATAAGTCGAAAGCATTTGTTTCTTCATTCCATGTGGCTGACAACATTTTACCTATGAAACAGTATATGTTTCAGAACAAAAACAACAACATAATTCGACAGACTCACCCCACCGATAATGAGGAAATGAAGATCAGCTCTCTGTGGCATTATTGATCCGATTCCCGAAATCAGTGTCTCCGTGCTTCCCGGTTGAGAGAGATCAACCAGAATAGACTTGCGATGAAATGTATTGGTGCGCGAGTTCACGTGTTGACGGAGTCCGGTCAGCGCACGTTCTGATCTCCTGATCGGCTCCCAATTAATTTGACGGAAATCGACTGTGAAAGTGGGCGAACGTTTCATAGCCTTTTCAAGTATCCAACGTAGTCGATAAATTGCTGTAAAGTGTAGTGGAAATATACTCACACTTGTGAAACGCAATTGTTTCTATTTGAGCACCAAAAGACCTTCACTTTCTCTCAAGTGAAAGAAAGTTTCAATCCATAAAAAATGCAAAATGAATCCATCTATGCCCTCTCCCCTCCCCTCCCCTCCCCTCCCCTCCCCTTAGTTTATCCAAACAGTTGCCACTAGTAAATGTACTTATAGCGCATCTTTTCTATGCTTTGAAAAAAAGAAACGCTTTCTGTCAATATGCAAACCAACGATGTTTATCAGTCTCTTTTTTCAGTAGTACTTACCATATAATCTCGTAACTTTAGACGATATTTCAAGAGAAGAGAATTGAGAGTTAAACTTGTGGGACACGTTATCCCTGTGTGCGTCATCGTATGCCTGCATGTCTGCCCGCCAGGATTGGGAGGTGCGGAGGTACAACTCTGTGTGCAGCGACCGTACAAATAGTGACCAATCATCAACCTCTGTTTAACCTAATCCCCCATCCTGATCATGAGTAGCTCCCTGCGAGTACACTTTATCCGCAATATACTCACTGAATAAACGTGCTCCATGCTACACGTCTGTTTACTTAATAGCTGGGCTATAGCTTAGCTTGTTCTGGGAGTCTAGCTAGATGTAGGAGAATCTGCCATAGAGATTTCTGAGTTAGTCAGGCTTTACTAAGGTAGCAATCCGCTACAAACTGACCGCATTCACGATAATATTAACTTATTTTAATTTCACTTCTATTTAATTTTATTGTTATACCATCAAAAAAAGAGTCCAGATTTAAAAAAAAATTGACTGTCAGTGACTCTTTCAACAACAGCCCTCAAAACTGCAAATAAATACTTTCAAATCAAAACTCAGGCCTTGGTGGATCGGAATCTCACCACATTCTAGTCTTCATCCTCACTAGCTGTAATTTGCTAAAATTCAAATCGGCTTTAACTGGAGGTAAAGCTGCGAAGATTCGACCAAAAGGAAAGTGGGGAAGACTTTTAACTCAAGAAACGGTCAATTAACTACATGAATTGTCCTTATTTATACATGGACCTGATTATGCAACAGTTTATTGGTTGTCCGGTTAACCAATAATTGTAACAGCTTTACCACAAATGGTTTTAGCCTAAATGTGTTAGCCTGAGAATCCAATTGATTTGATAATCCACTCTATGAGAGAGATGAAAATTGCGGGTTTCTCATGAGGCCAATTCGAATTCCAAACATAAATGCTGGCAGCCTTGTCATCTACCACTTGCATGCTTAGAATATCAATCCTCCTCAGTGACGTAACTAATCAGATATCAATTAGTTCTGAATATCGGAGCATTCCGCTCAACCAATTCTTTAATTGGACAAGATGATTGGCATTTTTAAAATGATTTTTTTATTCTGATTACCTTCCTAACACTCTTAGAGGCCAATATAAGATGATTTATTTGATCAGTATTTCATAAGTCTAAATTAACTGGAATTCAAAGGCAGCATTTTGGAAATAAAAAAACTACATTTTATGAATTTTTTCGCTCAAACTTCACCACTTGGCCTCTGGATAAACGGATTTGAAATTATTAATACCGGCTCATTTGTTTTACAATTAGTCATTTCAACCATTTTGCAAGCAGGATGATAAAGGTGAAACCGACAGGAATAAATTAAATATTATCTTAGCTTAATTGGGGTGTGCGTTAGACTTACTTCCACGTGGTGCACATTGGGCAACGTACACTCATACGGCAAGAAAGCCTATTAGCCGGCAGTTGACTTCTGACTTCAAACTACCATGACCCCGTTGTATGTCGTATTCAACCCATTCACAGTACTCACCTCACCTTTTCTCTGCCTTTGTGTCTATCTGACTCTTTCACATTTTTGAATCATTATTATGTTTCTCACCCTTCGACTTTCTGTATCTTTGATGTTAGTTCCTCTATGAAGCTCGAAGTCAGCTAATGGGCTAATGACAACCATCAAAACGTCTGCCATTTGAAATAAGTAAATCTTAGCTTAATTCAGCTCACCCAAGACGAACTCATTTTCAACGAGCTAAAATAGTAATCTATGTCTCCTTGGCTGATTACCTTCTTGACCCTCGTAGAGGTAGAGAATATCCTCCCACTCCGTGT